ACTCTGCCTTTGACCCTATGCCTTATTTTATGGTTATTATAAGCACTTAGGGCTGAAAACTTACTCTCAAAATTAGTCTCACTGATTTCCAAAAAGGACTAGATGGAGGCAGCACTTCACACACACACCCCTTTTAACAGTAAAGGCAAAGCCAGTTCAGAGTCAAGACATGTAAATGGGAACCAAAGCATTTAGTTTCTGCTCCATTATTAAAGTCTAAGATTCTTTTGCTAATTAGCACAATGTAACCTCAATCCTGCAACCCAATCTAGGAGGCCAAGCCCAGCATCAATACTGCACACAGCATGGTCAGTGGTGATACGCGCAAGTTCACCCACCTCTGAAATTATATCCCCTGCCCCTCAATGCATTGCTGGATCAGTCGGACAGCTCCCCCAGCTTCAACAGTTTGGCTGGACACCCGATGGAGAAGGCACTCTGTGTCCACAAAGCCAGCTCTGTCCGTGGCTGCCTACATCCCCTTTGCTCTCCACAGAAACCTGCCGAGAGCTCCTTTGAGCAGCAGGCACAAAACATGCCCTTAACAAGCGAGTTTATAAGGGTCTGTGCAGTTCAGTCTTGCTTTAATGCAGATATGCCACTCCGTGCCCACCCAGCCCTGCTTCCCTGATAGCCGATGCTGATGGCTCTTGCCTCGGAGCCCATCCTTACAACTGAAGGGTGGCAAGCACTCCGTGGGAGTGCTGAAGGGATGCTGCATTCCCCAGAACTGCTCTTGCCTCACAGAAACAAGCAATTTTCACATAGTTCATGAAATGCTATTTGTGAATCAGGTATTTTACTGAACAGTTAACCCAATTAGCAGACTCAACTAGGTTCCAGTAACACCTCCTCCTGGCATACTTACTATATGGTCTATATAGTTAGTTCCTTATGCCTACCATAGGTTTGTAACGAGCATCTACCCATCACCTATAAACAAGACCCAGCGCTAAATGCTGCCCAGCTACACTAGTTCTTCAGCACAGCTCCCTGCAAACACCCATATTGTTTTTAAATCCTAAAACATGGTAAATATTCACTATCATTTGTTTGATCAGGATAAATAAAAAGAGAACAAGCTAAAGGAAAGCATGGCAAACTGTAGGAACTGTAACTAAGCTGGTCTGCTACAAATAATCCTCCCCGCGGAAAAAGAGCTGCCTGGATTTTCCTTCTAGGATAAGCAACGGTAACTGTCAGTTACTTTGCCGCTACTCAACTTCTCTTTATCCCTGTGAAAACACAATCCCTCCTCATCAGCTCTGCCTGGTACACAGGGAACGTCTGAGGCAGACGAGGTTGGCGGGGAGCTCCGGGGCTGCCAGGAGAGGCTTGCTGTTGCTAGCCCCGCGCGGTACATGGAGCAGCTCCCTTCTCTTAGCGTGAAAAAGAAAGGTACAGATTACTGTGGGTCTGCTTCAAAGCAGCACCGGCGAAGTTTCTGGCGTGATCTTTCAATTGCAGAGAAAAAAAGTAGCGGAGATACAGCAAAGGAGGAACTCACGGAGAAATTCAGTCTGAACACCCTTCCCAGGAAAAAAAAAAAAGAGCTTTCCGAAATTTCCCTTTTACCCCCGGCAGCCTGGGGAAGAGTCACCACCTGTTCCCAAACTGAGAGGGAAATGGGGAACTTGCCGGGACAGAGCCATGCTCCGCCGGAGCGGCTCCTCATCATTTCCTTTCTCCAGCTAACTTTCACCGGGCCGGGCAGCGGCCCCTTTCCCCCCCCGGGGCATCCCCCGTCCCGTACAGCTCCGGGCAGAAATGCTGAATCACGAAGCCGAGGACGCGGGACCAGAGGCGACGGTGCTGGGAAGGGGATGCGGAGGTGTCCCGTTTTACCCCCACCCCGGTACTGGCCGCCTTTCTCCGCCCGCTGCCCGGCTCGCCCGGGGAGAAGGGCCGGGAGTCGGAGGGGATGATCCGAGCCGCTGTGGCGCCGGCGACAGGCACTTACTTGAAGGTGAGGACGCAGAGGGGCCGGTAGGACTTGTGGCTGGTGTTCTCGGCCATCCGCTTGCCCCAGAAGTCGTTAGCGAAGGCGGCAGCCACCGGGGTGGCCGCCCGCACGTCGGGGTTGTTCACGATGGCCCAGACGTCGTCGTGCACGAACTCGCCCCGCAGGGAGTTGCCGTAGCAAAGGGCGCACAGCCCCGCCAGCACCACCGCCGCCGCCGCCCCGCCGCGCCGCCCGCCCGCCGACGGGGACGAGTAGCGGGGCGGCGCGGCTCGGTCCCGGCTGCGGGATCCCAGCGCCGAGCCCGTCACCATGGCGCGGGGCGCCGCGCTGGCTGCCCCTGCCCCGGCTCCGCTGCCGCCGCGGCGCAGAGAGGCAGCGGGACCCGCATGGTGCGGGGCGGGCAGCGGGACCGCCGCCGACCACTCGCTCTCTGCCGAGGCGCAGCCTGCCCGGCCGCACATAAACAGCGGCCGCCTCCCCGCGCCATCCCTCCTCCTCCTCCTCTTCCTCCTCCTCCCCCTCACCCCCCTCCCGCACGCATGCTCCTTGCCGTGCTGTCACCCCGCTGCTGCCGCCGCCACCTCCTCCCGTTGGCGGGGTGGGCTCTGCCCGGGGTGGCTCCGCTCACCTGGCAGGGAGACACGCACGGCACGGCAGCACCCGTGCGAGGCCGTGCTCCCCGCGGGCGGCATGGGCTGCGGGGCTGGGAGCGGAGCTCCGGTGCGGCGGGTCGCCCCTGTCACTCGCGGGAGGAAGGTACAAGGCTGCCCTGGTGCCACTGCCTCCTCCATGCCCGCGCCGGCGTCCCCCTCCACAGACAGTCGCACCAGGAGTAGCTTCCCCGTGGGCCATGCTTACCTGGGCAGTGGGAACGTCCCAGCCGGCTGCACGGCATCTGAACTGCTCCTTAGCATCCACATTGCTCCACTGCATCCACACTGCTCCACGGCATCCACAGTGCTCCACACCATCCACGCTGCTTTCCTCACACCATCCATGCTACCCCACAGCATCCAGGCTGCAGCATTATCTGTGCCAAGTAGTCCCCCACTGCGTCCTGCTGGTGGGAAGTCTTCTGGTGCTATGGACTTGTTTTCTCTGCTTTGGTCCACCAACTGTCCCTCTTCCAAAACCACCTGAGAGCTGCCTTCTCCAAAGGATTATTTTGTTGTCTGCAGTTTGTCCATCCCCTCCCATTGCCATACACAACTTTTCTTATGGTAGCGACAACTCCCAGTAAGTTTTGCTTAAGGCAAGGCTATGTTCAGATCATCTATTCAGCCATGTATAAAAGTTATGTGACCGTGACTTTTTCAGAAGACAGAAAAACAAGGGCTCTATTAGTGTTTTCTTGCAATTTAAATAAAACTTCCTGCTTATGACCAAATCAATAATGCTGTTTGGCAAAGCAGCTTAGATTCGATTAGGCAAATGGACATACTGGACATACTTTGAATTTGCTCTTGAACAGAGATACACTGACATAGTTCACCACCCTCCTGTGTAGTTTCAAGCTGCTGTCGCTGTGTGTGCGTGTGAGCATGCCTGCCTGCCTGTGGGAAAAAGAGGGGAGCAGAAGCCGTGAAGAGTTCATGCAGACTGTCCGGGGTGAGCCCTCTCCAGGAATGCATTTCCCCAGCATATTTGGCACTTGGACTGGTCTGGTATTTTCCAAGAGCAACAGAACTGGCTTTTCAGATGCACTTTGGTCATAGCTAAAAATAACACTCAACTCCAACTAGGACAGCATGTTTATATCCGGGACAGAAGGAAACTCCACCAGCAGCAGGGTCATCAACTCTAACTTTTCCTTAAGTGACTGATGACATTTTGTCAGTTGGCTGCCTGTAAACTTTCCCCCGCATGGGAGACTGTGGTGGTGTGTTGGTATTCATTTTCACCAGAGTTTCGAAGTTTGGGCATGTTAAGGCTAGAGTCCAACATCTATGCATGTGCACAGAAAACCAGCCTGGTACACACAGGCACTGAAGTATTGAAGCCCAGCAGCCCTGGAAACAGGCATTATTGCAGACATGTGTGAAAGGTGGAATTGTGACTTTTTGTTGATATAAATTAAAATGGTGACAGTTAGTGGGAGGAAGGATGAGCAGAAGGATGGACTCTAATGCTAATGAAAGCAAAACCAGTATGTGTAAGATTTAAACATTGAAATTGCCTTGCAGTAGACTCCAGGTAGTGTTTGAAAACCTACATTACTCCACTGAACAAACTCTGCAGTCCCCTGTAGTTCTAAAATGGGCAGCTGAAGGTCTTCTCTGAGGCAGATGTACTGCACACAGGTGAGCTAGGCAGCCAAAACAGGGGTTCAGCAGCACTGCTGAGGTGAGCACAGCGAACCCAATGCAACCAGCAGCCCAGGTACATGATGCTCATGCTATGGGCCCACCCGCTGTAGACTGAGGTCCTCACAGCCTTTCTCACTGATGTCTTTCAGCCTTCCATCTTTCTCTTTCATCACAGGTTGGGGGCAGCCTGCTGATAGCCCGTGCCTGCCATGAAACAGGGTTCGCGGCTGCCCTAAGTCAACCCAACATTGGGCAGGGGAGAGGTCTCTCCATTCATTATCCAGGACTGTGGTACACGTTCCTGCTGTAGCACAAGTCCCGCTGTTTATCCCTTTGAGCTTAACTAGCTCATCACATAAAGCTGAGAAAAAATGCAGAGTTATAAAATGGTTAATGATGAAGAGGTGATAAAAAATCATTTTCTCATTAAGGGATTTCCTTTCAATATCTTATGACAGTAATGCACACAGCCATATCACATAGTACAACAGACACGCTCTATGGAAGAAATAATATTGCTTCCTATACAGATCTACAATTTCCTGTTTGCTTTCATAGCCCACCCTGCTTGAATAACAGCAAAAAGCCTGGAAAGAGATGGCAGGGCTGACCCATTCCGGACTCCTTCTGCCCTCATTCTTGGGAGAGCACAAATACTGGTCATTTGCTTTTATCTGGTACAGAAACCTAGAGTTTGCAGGGAAGAAAAACCCTATTTATTTTTTAATCTATTTTCTTATACAATTATTGAAATGCTATGCACAAAGTAGTTAACACTGATATGTCAAGTTTCTCGTAGGAGAAGAAAATCTATTTTCGCTTCTCCAGGATAGACCAGATCCTTCCTTTCTTCCCTCAAGCAAAAATCTTAAAGAGACAAAGCAATGCTCCAGTCAGCCACAGAGGAAAACCTCCCGTTCTTCACACCAACACCTGCTAAAATACAAGCACATAGTCTTCTCCTTTTCACTCACAAAGGGAAACGTTACCTCATCATGCAGCAGTCACCGTCACAGACTAAATTCAAGATGTCATTACTAAAAGTCCTGACCACCTATAAAGAAACTAAGAGAAAAAAGTCATCATTCAGAGAGTGGGAGAACACATATTGAACAGTGCTGTGTATTGGGTCTTAAATCTGTACATATATATACAGGCATATGCACAGAGGAAGGGGAAAGAGAGAGGAAAAAATGAGAATCCAGTAATGGGATGGTTTGCTCCAAAGCTGCTTTGCCACTCTCAAAGATATCTGGTCTAATAAGAAGTATTTCCTCCTCCTGCAAGCCTTGATTCCTTTTCTACCTAAAGTAGCCATGTCATCACTTCTGAAATGTAAAATCAAATTGCTTCTCTGAAAGCCTAGCTGAGTTCTAGAATCATGTGTACTTGAAGCAGTCCAGCTATTTGACTGCCTGCTTGTATTTGAATCACAAGTTTCGTGCGAGCTATGCAAAAAGATTAACAAATGCCTGTGAGAAAGAGAGATCTTGAAACTAATTCTGTGTGACACTCAGAAAAAAACCTTGCTCTGCTAATTGAGCAGAGCTCGTTACTTCTGAAGTAGGAAAGTTTAGCCTCAGCTTGGAGTAAAACATACGGCAGGGTATGGAAGGCAGTAGACACATTTGAACCGCTACACTTCAAAGGGCTGAGCACTGATTGATCTGTTATTATCTGAAGATGGCAGCTGCTCAAAGGCAGAAATAAACTGCAAAAGTTTTGAGTTTCAAGCTTAAACGTGGGGTTCTAAAGAGTTTAGCTTTGCACTGACTGATTAAAGTATAAGAATGCAGTAAATACAATTTAAAAGTTAAATTACCATATGGTCATAGCTAGAGGTAAATTTCAAAAGTAGCACATGTAAATAGTTTCTTGCTGTCTGAACAAATAATTCTACAGTTAAACTAAGTCATTTGGTAACTGGTACAATTGATTTCTGCTTGTAGTCAGTTACTGACTGGTTCTGCAATTCATTTAAGAAGCCCCCAGGATGAAACTCTCGATCTGCCATGCATATAATTTTCAGCTGATAAAGATTATGTTCATATGGTTAAAAGCAAAACAAACAACAACCAAAAAAACCGCCAGCCACCAGGTTCTGGTAGCTGTTAAAGGAAATTGCCATCTTAAATGAAGGAGTGTTGCAAAACCTGGAATCAAGTTTGGCATCTTTAATCCAGTGTGCATCTGCACTGGAAGAGCTTTGGAGAGATGGAGAGCAATCCATGTAGACCATAGCCCCTTCAAGTGCAGGCAACATTCTGTTTAGGCAAGTAGGAATTGAACTTTGGAATTACCAGGAGCAATGGTGCAGTGAAAGATTGGACTGGACTGGAAAAATCCTAATTATCATCCATTTTGCTTGTTACCAAATAGCTTTCAGGTCTATGCAGGCTACAGTAAGTTTCTCTTTGGTGAATTCTTCCCAGTGAAAGTTCCTGTGGTTTTGCTTTCACTTTCAACTATGGCCAAGAGTCAGAAATAGTACAAGCAGGAGAGGAAAACTTCTTGGCCTTAGTACCATTGTCCTGTGATCTTTAGGAGACAGAGCAATCCAATATCCATAGGATGATCTCTCTTTTTCAATTGGGATATAGTATTTCAAGTTTAGCCCACAACCCCCTAATAAACCTGCTTCCTGTTGCATTCATGGAGTATGCTAAATATTAGCCCTGAAAATTCAACCTCTCAGTTTTTACAAAGCGATATCAAGAAGAAGATATCATATGGCAAGCGCTGCTTGGTGGATCCCCATGGATGCACATTTCCCATCCCTGACACAGATGGCAAATAACACAGAATCCTCCATGACCCATTTTCAGATCCATTTGTTACCTGTTTCATATGCCTGTGTAAAATGGGCAATTTCAAGCTGAGAAAAAGCTTCCCATAGTTGTTACTGGATTAGAGGGAATCTCTTTTTCAGCTCATACAACAAATGCATTTTCTGCCTTCAAAGAGTCCCAAGTTAAGCCTTAGTCTATGGACAGGATTGTACAGAGTCTTTGAACCCCTGTAATGGGTGGAACATCCACAATTTGACAGGGGAGAGGCATCCAGCAAATGGTGCAGAGTGACTTGGGCTTGGTAATTGCAGTTTAAAGGTCAGGGACAATACAAAGGTAGGACAAGTCCCAGAAATGAGAATAACCAGACTCTTCACCTGCAGAGAAGAGGAGGCAATGGCATAGGCTGCTGAAGTTGCCCACTCCAGTGGACTCACTCATGAGTGGAGGAGATCAGCACTTCCCATTTTTGTGGGCATGATTCAGGTGTGAATAGCCCCATGATGGAATGGGGAGTGGAAGAGAGAAAGCATTTTTCTTTCCTCATTGAACATGGATCTGCACTTTTCCTCCTCTAGAAGCATTGAGAAATCTTCCCAAATTCCAAGAGTTCTCAGTCTTGCCCTTGCCTAAAAAATTGTTTTTATTGCAGCAGAGCAAGGGAAAAGTGCAGCATATAGGGCTTGAGTCATAAGAGTTATCAGTTGTAACATTCATCTATTTAATGATGATTAAGTACAAGACAGTTTAAGTTGATTTTTTATGTATTTCACGGAAATCAGCTAATGGCTCAGAACCACAAAAATTAAAAAGGGAAAACGCAACTCAAGATAGTCTCATTTTTGACTGAGCAAATGAGGTACTCTTAGATGACCCAACATTGTTTTTGCTTATAGCGCATAGGCCTGGACTACATTAGTACTATACATGGCACATTATTTCTGAGTACAAGCAGGTCAGAATGGGTGTGAGGCTGTTTAAAGCAGGGATCTTACTAGAGAGAAGTTGCTTTAAAAGGGTATCTTTCCTGAGAAATGGGCATTAGTAGCTCAGACTTCATACACTTCCTATGAGGGTTATGCAAGGGCATGTGTAAATTGTCACATGGCTGCAAAGTTGGATGCTGAGCTGCTGAGGGCACTGGAGTCAAACACAGCATAAGAAACATTCGAGCACAGCACTCTGGTCAATATTTAGTGGTTGGGATTCATATTGCTCCTGCAGGGAGGCACTGGATTCAGAAGAAGAATCTGATTTTGGAGAGACAAAGGAGGCATTTTCAGCTTGGATTGATCTGAATCAGTTTAATTTGACCTTATATCCAGCCTTCAATGTTGGATATATGTTCCTCAATGTAATTCTCTCTTGGAAGTTTATATGTCAAAATAATAACAGAGATTAAATACCCCAAGTCTGTTCCTTATTCAGATTCAGTTGGTTTTATTTTCTGGGCATCTCTGAGCTGGAATTCAGTAGCAGTTACCTCCTAAAAGTAGCTGATTTATATGTAAGATCTTCTGGCATCACCAGTTTCAATTGAAATGCAGTCACTGCAAATGGTCTGATAAAATCAGACAGTCGGATAAAAATCAGGAAATCTCTACATTTATTCTCTGATTACTGAGCAAGCTCAATTTCACCATGGTGAAGCAGAGGCCAGTGATTACGATTACTTTTCTTTCCTTTCATCTACTTTTTAATATTTGGGTTTAAGATGGAAAATTACAAATTAATAAATCTGCACCAAGTCCAATCAAGGATCTGTATAATAATATCATTCATATCTCTATGACGAGCAACAGCTGGAATACATTTTGGCAAAAATATTAAAGTCTAGATTGTAGAATAAGCCACATGGAGTCACTGCAATTTGAGGAGGGGAAAAGTTTCCATAAAAGCCACTGGGAAAGGAATACGATTTTTATTATTATTATTTTATTTTTTTCTTTTATTCTTTTTTTCCAGGTGACTTCTTTGGGTTTTACTTTTTCAGGCAGCTACAGTTTTATTTTTCAGTGCTTAACTTTCTAGTGCTCCCGTTGAACAAACACTCCAGATAAAACAACACATCCATCAGCCACTCCAGGTACTGCTTCTTCTCACTAGTCCTCTTACGCCAAGGTGTACCGAGGAGTTCTGTATATGTTTAAGCAAAGATAAGTTCTCAAGCACAATTACAACAACCTAGGCCAACACTGGTGCTATGCTGGCTGGAAAACTATCATGCAGGTCTGCTTTTCACCTGCAGACATCACCATGTGCTGGCTGCTGTCTTCCCAAGGCGTTTGAGATATTCACAGACAGCTAATAGATCAGTTAAAAATCAAAGCAATAAAACCCTGTGCTGCTTCTCAGAGGAAACAATTTGAAAGCTTGATTGAGGAGGACAGTATCAGGAGGAAGGGGGATGGAGAAGGAGGCATGGGGATGACTGGAGTAGCTTTTCAGTGCTCCCTTTTCCCTTTCCATTGTTTCCACAGACCACACATCTATCCTACTGGTAGCAGAATAAGTTGGACCTTCCCCAGTGATCTTTGCTTTTCAGCACTCTTACAACTCTGAAATATGTTGCAATGCTAGAGGAATGTTTAATAAAAATATTAAGCCCATTCTAAATGAGAACAATTATCTAGGTATGGAAGCACCAAAAGGACCAGTAGAAATGCTGTGAGAATGCTAAGTGCAGATGTCAGCTACGTCATCGAGATGCCGGTACATCTAGGTGCAACTTACCAGGACCTCCCTAAACTGAAGATAGACTACACCCAGCGTAAAACAGAAGACAGAATATAAATCAGTAACCTAAAGAAATGATGCAAGGAAGAAAAGAATAGGCTCAGGGCCATCAAATACCCAGGTAAGGGGAGAAAAATAAATCCTAATCCAGGGATGGAGCAGGATGAAGTGCACATGAGGGTGTGGGAGCATGTGCAAATCCTGTTTTGTTTCGAGTAAAATCACCTTTCTGTCCTACATTAGCTCACATTGAACTTTGTTACATTTTTACTGCAGTGTTGCAAAATTAGTTTTGGGGCTACAAACCTGGCAACGCTGGAGTTATGGGCTGTACATGCCTGCAATGCTAACACACCTTTTATCCATATGAATGCAAACTCCGGGCTTGTCTGAAATGCTCTGGGGGGACATATGTGTGATTTTCTCAGTTTTCCTGAAGGCGAGTGCACATGTATGAGCTCAGGATCTTCAGCTCCTCCTGCTAACAGGAACCACAGGACTTTCTCCTTTCAGTCTCTCTCCAAGGAGATGAGTCTCTCTTGCTTTCTTATGCCCGCTCCCACTCCCTTCATGTGTTTCAGCTGATTTCTCCTGATTGCACTCCAGCTTTCTTTTCAGTCAGTAGGAACTTGTAACCTTTGAGTTTCTATTGCTAAACAATTGAGAAAACAAGTTACTGAGCTTTGCCTAGTTGAGAGCTTGCAGAATTTCCCATGGCTCCAGCCCAAAGCCAAAAGTCATCTGCAGTTCAGCTGAAACACTTTTAAGATCCCTGCAGTAGGAGTCTGGAAGCTTTCCGGACTGCGTTTGGAGCCTGGAAGGTGTAGAAATCAAAATAAACCACAGTTTGAGAGCAAATCTAGCGTGGTCGCTGTTACTAACCCTGCTTAGCAACACCTCTCCGTAGGGTTTCTGTCCTCTCTAGCTGAGCCATCCCAGCACATTACACCTGCCCTTTTCTTCCATTCCTGGGGCACCACATTAAATTCAGTGGCCTGGTTTGAGGTTCATCTGACCTCACTGCCACATCCTAGATCCTTCCTAGTTTTTTTCTGCAGGCTGTCTAAAGGCTTTCAGAGATGCTCCATGGCTCAGCATATCTTATTACTGAGTTCATGCCACAGCTCTGCTCCTCAGGCACAAGGCAACCTTTTCTTTTGTAGATGAGAGGTCACGTACGCTGAGACAGAACTTCCCTGGAAGCTGCTTCAAGAATAATGAGTGATTCCCCACAAGACCCAAGGATTTTTGTGACCCTTATCGTCATCATCTGAGCGCAAGAAGACCAACACTCTCCAGTGTAAACAAAAAGGATAATAACAGCAAACAAACCACTCCATCAAACCACAATACACCTCTGTACTCTTAATCCTTCCTTGGGAGAAGATGGAGAGAAAAAAATCATTACCAGAGTCAACATCATTTATGTAACTACTGCTTAACCACATCTGTTGATAAAAAGGGTAAAAACATACAAAGCTTGTGCTGAATGGTTTTATAAGGGAAAGGACTGGAGAGGAGCCTGAAGGAGGACTCGGCTACAGCCCAATTTCAGTGAAGTGCTGCAAAGATCCACGCTTTGTAATTTGGGCCTATTTCTAGTTATCTCTGCATTTAAATAGACTGACAGTTGTGAAGAAAAGTAAAATCCTAAAGATGGGGCTAGTCTTTTTTGGCATGAGGCTGCTGTCTGCCATGGGAAATTAATCCATGCTAAGCTGCAGTAGGCTGAGCTGCAAAGTTTGTATTCGTGTCACTGAGACTGCTTATACTCACTGATTGTCTATAAACTCTTATTAGTCAGACTTGACAGTGGGTGACACCTTGATGAAAAGAATAGCCTATGGATCACCGGCCATTCAATAACAGTTTATAAAAATGATATTAAATGAGCCATTTTTCCTAAGGCCACATACCAAAATATTTTGGGGTGATGAATGAAACGATACTGAGGGCTTTTTTTTTTTTTGCTTTTTGAGAAGGGGATTAGAAGGTTCCCAAGTGTTTTGTCACTGAAATAACCACATCTGTCAGCTAAAATGGTGGCACTATTATATTCAGTTTCTAGAAAGAGTTCCTCAGACTCTGAGGTCTTGGACACCTCCCAAAAGATTTGCTCTCTGGACAGTAGAAGCAGAATGAAATGAGAGGGAAAAAATAGCTCACAGCCGCAGCATTTTCACTCTATTCCAAATATCCCGTGGTTCAAAATGTTGATGAGAACAGACGGGCTCATGAGGGGTGGCTTGACAGGAATCACATTCCAATTTCCTTCATAAAACTTTGCAAGCTTTTCTCTCTCCAGTGGCCACCTTGCCGTTGTTACCTTTTGAGGGCCCACACAATCCTCCCTGTGAGGAAAAGCTATCCCAAGGCATTTCCTCTTTCCTTTTGCAAGACGCAGTCGGAGGATCCCATTAAGTTCTTTAATTTGTTTAACTGGCTTCTAATTTTGCAGACTCCCGTCATGCCATAAAAGTGACTGATGAATGACAGAGCCCTGCTAGGTTTTGCTGGGATGTAATGTGAGCTCCCAGGGCTGGAAACAATAAACCTCAATTTTCTGAGGACTGGGACATGCCAGCCCTGACTCCGCCACACCCTTTCATTTTGTTAGCTCTAGTTCAGCGAGTTAGGGACGGATTTTCTTACATTTCCTATCATTATGAGCCCTTTGTTCACAAAAGTAGGAGAGGATCCTCCGAGTATCTTAAGGTCATTTCAGAAGAGAGTTGATGAGTGCTGTGCCGGGGACTTGCTCTGCATGTACGGGAGCCAGCGTACGGGTTGCATAACAACACAGCAAAGGCTCATATAGAGCAGCTCGGAAGTGAGAAGAATTCCGGATTAATCAAAAGGCAGCCTCTCCCCTCCCACACTGACCTTCTCTGGAGCTGCCCCTCTCTCCATCTATCTGTGCATTTTCAGAGGACTGTCAGCTGAAAAGAACAAAGAAACATTGGAGTTCGCCTTTCAACTGTCATTGTCGCATGCTGGTTTTGGAAACTAAGTGACGAGATGTTCATGCCACGTTTCAGCTCACTGTGATTAACACAGTCAGGCTGTGCCGGAAGAGAAGCTTCTTCAAAACTCAATACTGTTTCCTTAGCAGTATAAGTAAAACCTGATCAGACTTGACTCCCTCCTGCAGAATATCCTCCTCAACAGGCAGGCAAAGACAACTATAAACGTTTTCACCTTGTCAGGCTGCCTGTAAGTAACCTAATCAGATTTGGAACACTTTAATTCATAATGAATTGGTCCATGTGGCTGAAAGCATCGCTAAACACCTGCAGTAGTGAGCCTCCAACTGTGCAGAGGCTCCCTATTCCACCCTCCCACTGTGCCATCAGCTGCAGGGACACTGACCTCCCACCAGGACACAAGAGGCACCTGCATCCAGGCCTGGACCTTACTACAGCCTCCCACAGAGCTGTGGTCCCTCACACCTGCACAGGTAGACTCCTTGTCACAGGGGAGCAAGGCAAAGAAGTAATGGAAGCATGCAAGCCTTCCTTACTGAAGCAACAGAGGTATAGGAAGGCTAAGAGATGTGCTCAAAGCTAGAAAGGAGCTCAGGCAGAAAATATAGGCAGTAGGTGAAAACATATCTTCTCATTTCAGTGTCATCTTCTGCCCCTGAGGGCACACAAGGATTGGAACAATAATTCCCTCAACCTTTCTGAAGTTTTCTTATTGACTTTTTCAATCTTTACAGTTCAGATTTTGAAACAGGAGTGAGACAGGACTTGCTCAGGAGGCAGAATCCCATGCCTTCCCACTGATGACCTCAGGGCATTATCACCTGTAAATCAACCCTAGAGCAAAATCCCTACTGGGGAATATGATTAGGATGCCACATTGCTATAGCATCTTGCAGCAGCCTGTGTTTCTGTCACAGTCTGAGAAGCAGGAATGCATATGCCCTTACCATGACAGCATAGGAGATTTTGAGCTGGTTTTGAATAAATGATTGATAGGGCAAAGGCAACTACTGGGGAACAGGTCAAACACAGCTAATGAAAAAAAGCAGACCCAGTTGTCATCCTGTTAATAGAGTAGTGTTTAGCAATAGCTTGTGCATTGTAAGGCTTAAGGTTATCAGCAGAGTGGCTGCAGAGAGCTAGTTAGAATTCATTCTGCATCTGTGACTGTAATCCAACAATTTAGATGAAAACATGTACTCTGCATAGGTGCATGGCATAGACTATTACTATCCTTAATATAGCAACAGTCATAATAAATCACATATTGAGTGCGTTTGTTATTCCGAGGAAAACTTAATTATCATTTCCAAGCTGGCAGCATTTGATTTACTTTCTGCTATCTCTGAAACTGTATAATTAGTTCCCAAGTTGCAACTCCTGCAAAATCTCTGCCTTGTCAGGGGTAGGAGATGTGGAATTACAGCTGCAGCCATCGCTCTAGCAAAGATATCTTTCCCTTGAGAATATTAATTTTCAACATAAAAATTAAAAACGAGTCAAACTCCCCTAAAAAAGAGGGAATGCTTGGAAGGTGCATCTCAAGCAGCCTCCCCTCTCATTGCTGAGCTGTCTTTGGTAAAAGGAGCTCTCTAGTGCCCAGTTGTAATACTGCAGTTCAAGAAGAAGTTGCTAGGAGCATGCAACCTAATCAAATAGATGTGCAAACAGAAGGCCTAGGTCTCTTCTTTTAGGCACTCAGTGCTAACAGTAATGTGCAAAGTGCTACTTAAACATCACTATCGGCCAAACCAACACTGTACTCAAAAGTTTAAAGGCACGGTGCAGAGGTCTCCTTCATTCTCACCTGTCGTTTATTATTCCCACCTGTTTCTTAAAGGAACTTTTGCTGTGCTGATGAAAGTGACTTCTGCTTGGTCTATGGGGCAAGGATGTGTGTGCACATCTGCCAGCATCCAGGCCATGAAGAAAGGTTTACAATTTTACTGTGCTCCTCTCCAGAGGCAGCAAAGTGCCTGCCATGTGGAGATCTAAGTTCATGTGCACATACTGGTTTGAGGTAGTATACTTTGTATAAGTGAATGCCTAACTGCAGCGGATGGCTTTTAGTGCATGGGCCTGATTAAGTGAAATTGTCTCATGCTGGACCAAACAAGCCCGTGGTCACTAATCCTAGAAAGCAAATTACAAAGATGATTCGTGGATAGCATACAGAGGCAAATAGAACCTCTAGTCTTTTCTAAGTGAAGACCTTAGCATTTTGATTATTATTTAGCAGTAATTATGCAGGTTTGAGTACATGCTAAAATATCAACACATTGTCGTTACACTGCTTTTAATGCTTGCATTTTGTTTTTTCAACATATTACTGATGAGCTCACTAATATTTATAAAAAATGAATTAAAAGTCTATTTGGCTATTGCTGGATATTACAGATGGAGAATAATGACTTGACAAATTGGCAAACTGAGATTATCTGCAAATATTATGAAAGACATTGGAAGCTCTTACAAAATACACCATACTTTTAATAGCATTTTGCTATTATGATACTTTCCTTGTGGATTTTGTGGTTTAATATTGCAAGTATGAAAAACGATGCCATAGTCTAAGCTTTGCCACTGAAAAGCACCATCTTGTGTTTCTTATGCTCTGCTTCCCACAGCAAGGCTTATTCTACAGCAGAAAATAAATTAAGATGTAATAATTAACTGTGTTTTAAAGGCAAGAAACCCAACACACGGCTAAGTTGCTCACCTTTAATCATCACGAACAGTGACGGTGGATTTCCTGCAAGTTACTGCAAGCCAGAGGCTTAAACCTTTTGCCTTTAGATGGGTTTGCAGTATTTTTTAGCTTCCCCCATTACTGACCTTCCTTTTCTGAGCTCAGCTTGCAGAGAAGCTGTAGATGTAGTAGCTGAAAAACAATTTCAAAAATATAAGCTACAAACAACAAAGAATCCTGCCAGATTCAGATAAGTCATAGCAGTAATAGGTTTTTTCCTCACTTAGCACTTCAGCTCAGTATTAAAGCAATCACTCTTGATAAACGCAAAACCTATCAGTACATTATTATTTCTAAGAGTCCTATGGAAAATCTAAGATAGAGCATCCCATTTTCCCCTTTGTTTTTGCAAACCTGCAGGCATGGTGGCAATGGCATTACCGTTCTCCCAGCTTTTTTACCAAATGGAACAAATGGTTGATATGTTGGGGTGAGAAAACTACAGGAAAGTGCTTCTTGTCTCCTCAGAGAACTCTTTGTAAAGAAGTCCTCTGGTGCCTAATTTCAAGAATGTGGGTCCCTTTTCCATTGAGATTTAGGTTGGAAGGGACTGTGAAGATCCTGTTTGAACTCCTGCATTATGCAGGGTGCAGAATTTCAGCAAAATCAAAGACAAATTTCAGTTTTATTTGCAGTGTTGGGTCCTTGCAACATACAGAGCTCCCCCTCCCACTGTGCAAACAGGTGCTTGCAGCTGATCCAAACCCACCCAGAAGCTGAGCAGATGCCTCTCTGAGCCTCTTCTATGTTTAAACATGGAAATGAAGCATCAAAGCGTGTGCTTTCTGTGCTGTCCTGAATGATGGGGTTTATTTTCCTTGTTAAAACACAGTTTACACTTCTGTTCTATCACTTTTGACCTGTTTGTCGAAAGCAAGTCCAACTCTGATGTGAAATAAGGCAAATCTCAGTGCCACTGGGTCAGTTTCACTTTACATCCCAAACTGATAGCAGGCCTGGACCAGTGGCAAAGGACCAAAGAAGCTCCCAGAAGCTTGGCACATCCTTCACAACACTGGATTCCTAAATATCAGGCAGCTGCAAAAAGGATGTACCTAACCATTTGGGGTTTCATTTCTGTTTTTCTTTCTCTGCATTTATGGATAGGTGTATGGAAATCTCCATTAAATAAAAGTTTGCAAGTAGAGAAGATTATTGTAGGTTCATAAATAGTTTCAAGCTAGTAAGGTAAGCATGAAGATAATGTAAAGCTTAAGACTCTGGAGCACCCACAGCCCCTACCTGAGATCAGAGTTACAGCCTGAGGGCCACCAAAATTCAGCAGATACTTCAGAGTACAATCAGGAGTTTTGGAATGGCACTGACTGTACAGAATAAATGTTTTGATTTGGTTGAAGTGCCCCCCTGAAAGAAAAAGTATGTTTAATACAGAAATAACAAAAAGTGGCCATCTTGCTCTCTCAGCTAAGCGGCGAGATTTTACTCCCTTCAGTGAGGTACGATGTTTACTTCTGTGGAGACTTGCATCCCAATATGCAGTTATGATAAGTGTGTTGCCACACTCCTTCTGTAGATAGCACATAACCAGTATCAGAAAGTCCTAAACCAAGTACAGATGCTTTATGATTTATACTAGCTAGGAGCCACTTCACAGAGCAAGAAGAACGTGAATTGGTCTGCTTAGACGAGAACTTTGGAAAAGAAGCTCATGAGTTAAAAAACTTGCTTTCTAGTTAAAAACTAAATAATAATAATAATAAATGTAATCCAACTAACCGGTTGGTAAGTTCTCAGAATTGTGGAGGTTTTCCCTTGCCAATGGTCTAGATATAACAGCACACCCTTTAAAGCTTCTACTTTGTTTGCTTAGATTTTCCTGCTCTCATTTGGAGTTAGGATTATTGTGGGCATCACATCTGAATCCCTGTGGTCCTTGGCAGACCTCCCCCAGCCAGGGGTACTGCAGCGGCAGGGTAGATCTCCTACTGTAGGGTGGTGGGAGATGCCAAAAAGCAAAGGATCTGGCCTTGTTACCAGTGTTGGTGTTGACAGTGAGTCACCCAGCTGCCTCTGCTGAAAATTAGTCTCTCTGTCTCTCCAGTCCTAATGAATATTGATGAACTTCACAGCATCAAAAGAAGCAAAGGCAAGACAGCTGTTTGAGGGGACAAACACTTCAGTTCTGGATTGGGAAAAAAGAGGCAGACAGAGGAGTGGTTGTGATGAGCCAAGACAGCCTTCTCCCTCGTTTGTCAAAATGTGATTTACAGACACACTTCCATTCACCCCTGTGGCTGCCAGTTTCCACATCCTGTGTCCACAAATCTCTCCTGCTAATTGGATAGGCAATATGTGGGCTGCCTCCTCTATAAAAAGCTTCCCTGAACTGGGATGCTTCCCAGCTCATTTTAATAAATCATGACTGTAATTAAATTCTTTTGCTGCATATTTCTGCAATAAAGTTTGTATCATTCACTTACTGGCCTTCTTTACTGTCCAGCTTTCATCTTGTCTTGTTTCTGAAACTACCTTTCCTGCCTACTCATTTGAAGAATGCCATTTGCTTTGAATCCCTAATCTAATTCATCTGCTTTTTCCTTATCCTTGAGCCTCTCCTCATTCTGTCAGCCCCAATAGTCCCACTCATGCCTCTAGCCACTGTCCTTGCCATCAGTGACCACTTCAACTCACCCTTGATAGTTCTGCTCCATAAGGGTGTCCCACTCCCTCCAGAGCCACTTCCACCAGCATGCTGACAAGTGCATCTGAGACTACCCTTTCCAGGTGGCCAGCTAGCAAAGCGCTTATTTACACAGCAAAACCCCTTTGTTGATGGAATTTGTTCCTGTTTTCTTCTTTTGGGGAAGTCTCTGTTCTCCCTGATGGACTTTTACAGGTTTTGACACATTTACAGGGGTTATTGCAAAGCAAACAAACTAACCATCTGCAAGCAAAAGACTACCCCAGAGCTCTGCCAAAGCTGGAACTGCATTGCCCTCAGGACTGTCTGGAGACCTCCAAGTCTTGTAGTGAGGGGACATACAGCCCCTGAAACACTTGCGCTGGTTGCTGTGAGAAGTCAGAAGGTTAGGTTCGACAAAGTTCCTCATAGATGTTATTTCCCTTTTACGCAGGCAGAACGTGGGGAGGAAGCCCTGGGCTGGATGCTCACCCTCCTTTTGGGTTAGGGGAAGGGACAAGGCTTTGAAGAGCCATACCAATTAGGCTGGCAGCTGGAGTACCAGCTATCTACCTGAAGCCTAGAGCCATCTCAGGGCAAACACAGCTCTCTCAATAAAGGGCCAGTAATGCCAGTCATGACGGGCAGGCACTGCTTTGCCTAAGCAACCTTTTTAATTATTTGTTTTGCAGACTTACCTGGTCAGAAGCAAAAGGTCCATGCATTTGGAAATCCTTCCTAGTTTCTGCATAGGAGCAGATAGGACACAGGAGTCCCAACACTAAGCTTTAAATCTCATCACAAAACCTGTCTTGGTTTTCATTTTCTTAAAGGTCCTGTCAATCCTAGCGTCCAGAGGGGATAGGACTGATGTTAGGAGCCATGACATCACAAAGAAGAAATGAATTAATTGAGAAGCTGGATGGGATGTATGGGTCATATAAAACAGTGTAAGCATCCAGTCTTTTCCTTGCTTTGAAACAGCCAGTGTTTCAAAGACACGGATATGTGAAGCAGCATCTTATTTTGTTCTTCTTCAGAAAACTTATGAACTTCCTTCTATTTAAGGGACATTTGTGTAAATGCCATTTTTAAAAGGCAGAGTCCTTTGTCTTTCCTTGCCTCAAAAGCATCATGTAAAAAGTTTTAATGTGTAAGACTATAATGTAGGGTTGGTTTTACACTGACGGTTTCAGATTCAAAATAGATTGAGATATGCCTCTTCTTTGCATAACTCCAAGCTCAGCTTCAAACATATAAGTGGGAAAAATTAACATTAAAATGAATCCTTAAACTGCAATTACTTGGAAGATGCAGAGCATGAAGCATCCAAATGGCTCTCACTCAGTGACCCAGTTAAAACATACAGATCAGAGAACGTGGAGGCTCTGCCCTGCTCGCAGCTTAACTCTGCTGTTTGTACTCTAATGCAACACAAAGAAGCAAATAGATGTCCAAAACACTAATGTATTCCCATTAGGCTGTGATCTTCCTCAGGTCTTATGAGGGAACAGGAAAATACTTGAGATTACAGGGGAGGTTTACAGAGATGTGCCAAGGTTTTGTATTATCGTTAGTAATATGGTGTAAGTACCCTTTAAACTGGCATTGAAAATACAGCTGCTGTGACATGATATTATGAAATAAAGATGTATTATATCAGATGAAAGAGAAGGTACCAGGAGGCCCCTGGTATTTTCTACTATGTAAAAATGGCTTTGTTGAGAGAGGCACTGTTGAAAGTGTCATCTATAGACTAAGCAGACAGAAAATTAATTCCTTTTTTCTCTATTTATTAGGAAAGGCATATTCTGAATACACTAAGTAATGGAGTGAGCAAATACAAAGCTTTACAGTGCTGTGTCAGTATGAAAGGAGGGTGTCCTTGCCCTGCAAAAGGGTAGCAGAGCACACAGTCAGTGTGAAGGACTTCATGAATCTTTGTCCTCGAGATCCCCAGGTTGCTCAACCCCCTGTAAGAAAGTTTACAGACCATTACCAAGGAAGCAGAAGTGACAAAGCTGTCATCTTTCCTCCTCATTTTTGTCTCTTTCTGACCAGCCTTGCTATTTTTAAGGGAAAGTGCGGGCATGAGGAAAGCTTACAGCCATCGTAACAGCCCTGGCAGAGGAATGCAGGCAAGGAAGGATTCCAGGAACTGCAGGACCTGTCAGTGAGAACCAAAGGAATAACCTCATCAGCTGGCAGCAAGAGCAAAGGCTTGTTTTTTGTGTGGGTTATCTACTAGGGGAAAAGGAGCAGGATGTATTTGGCAAACATGTATGCTCTCAGTGCAATAACACGTCATGGCTGCATTCCCCTGCTTTTCACTCCTGCCTTCAGGTTTCATTTCTTCTTTCCTTCCATATTCATTTGCAGCTGCTGGACAGGGTCTGAAGGAAGCCTAGTGCAGTAGCCACAAGCGTGACCTTTCCTGTACCACAGACAGAGTGAGCTGTGGCTGAGATAAGCAGCTTGATATTCTCCAGGCATCTCTGCTGCAGCTCTCCTGCTGACCTCATCTGGGGATTAATGCCAACACCTCCCAACAGCTCCTGGTCAAAGAGCTTGTGCTCTCCTCCCTCTGCTCTGCAAAGCAGGCTCTTGCAGTGCACCTTTTAACTGCCTTTGGAAACAACAAATTGTCTGCCCACTGATGTCCACATGGGAATGCATTCATCACCTTCATCTTATGAGGTAGTTTGAAAGTGTTCCCACCTCTCCTCCAGCCAAGGGCTTCCCCTTTTTGGTTGGATCAGAACCACACAAGCAGCTAATCTGATGTTTGGCATGGGTGAGGTGACCAGAGGGTTCTTCAGGGGAGCAGAGACATGCAGTGGGGCACAATGGCTCACTGGGAACCTGACAGCGCACTTCCACAACCCCTCCTTTTCAGTAACTTCTGATCTCAGTAGGCATGTTCCACAGTCTTGTCTGCTATTCCAGGGGCTGGAAGACAAGTGAAGGAGCGTGAACCCCCAATGTGGGAACAGGAATGGTAGCAGGTCTCTTGTTTTGCTTCCAAAATCGGTTTTGGGGATCAAATGTCAATTATGATTACAAGGCAAAATGAGTACACCTCATATAAAATGTACCTTTAATGCTGTAAAGCAAAGGGTCACATCTGAAAGCTCTCATTTCTGTAAAGAGTTAACTTCCTGGCCTCCCAAGTGCTGAACAGAGAACAGCCACCACTTCCCTCGGCTTGCTGGCTGTACTGGTATGAAAGCACCCCATGTCTGATGTGTTTAGAAATGAAGCATTCTTGACTCATGTTTAGCTTGATGTCCATCAAGACCTCTAGGCCCTTTTAGGCTAATCTGATGTCTAGTCAGCCAGCCCACTACTTGTACTGTTGTTATTATTTCCCAGGTGCAGGACTTTGCATTCATCTTCTTGAATTTCATGATGCTTCTGCCATCCAATTTATCCAGCCTGTTCATGTCCTCCCTGGATGATGAAAGGCTGCTGCCTTTCCCTCCGGCATATCGGCTACTCCCAATATACAAAATAACTGGAAGCAACGTCATGAAGGAGGTGATAGTCACCTTAGCGGTACTGTATAAACTCAGACTGGAACAGGGCTGACAGTTATGCCTCATTCACCCTTCTACTGGAAAGCACCCTGTGCGGCTGTCCTTCACGGGTTAGTTGATGTCCTTACTTTTGAATATGAAACCAAAGGATGATGTGGTTTACAGAGGAAGCTTAGAGAATTCCTCTGAGGAGATTTTGCAAGGACTGGTAGAATTAAGGGGTGTTTTTATCTCTACCTCCAGCCCCAGAAATCAAAATTATTAGCATCAGCCCAAAGCATGAAGCACATCATCTAATCTGGGGAAAAAAGATGCTCTTTCCTGTGACCTTAACTCAGTCATATAGGTCAGGCAGCAAAAATGATCTGCTTAAAATAACATCTAAGCTGAGCTTCACTGCTCCTTTATACAGGCATTTGTCCACAGGGAAAAAAAAAAAAACCAAACCACAAAGCACCAAACAGCTCCTCTTCAGAGTTGCTTATTCATTCCAACAAAGTGACAACAGCTAAGTAGCAACAAACAAGAGTTAAAGGGAAGATGATGCTACATTCTTAGCCATGCAAAACCTTAACGCTTACTGCTTTGGGTGAAGGGAAATATGTTTCCTCTCCACAAACTTTGCTGACAGCACTATATGCACCTTTCTGTTTTCACTCTAGCACACAGAGCAGCGGCTTTTACTTGGCCTATTTGGATTGCCTATCACAGCACAATGAAACACTATGCAGTAAATCAGTGCAAATCAATTCTTACATCCATTAGAAAGAGTCAAAATATATGCTTAGAAAATCCAGAGAAACTTAGAAGAAACCACCTCAAAGAGAAACATCGGGTAGCTTCCAGTGTTAAGACCTAGTGTGAGGTATGCCTGTCTATGGCAGGGGGATGGCACTAGATGATCCTAAGGTGCTTCCCAACCCAAACCATGCTATGAGTCTATGACCAAGAAGACAGGAAGAGCAACTGTGAGGACTCACCCATCTGATGGAGCGGTCTGTCCAAGGGATGGAGTCTCCTGCTGTCACTGTCCGTTCAGTAGATGGCCCTCTCTTGCAAAGGGCTCACCTCTGAGCCGAGCTTCTCTAAGCCAGCAGGCCCAACCCCATTTCCTTCATTTTCAGCAATTTTCTGGATTGAGGTCTAACACAGATATGCCCGAATTGTCCACAACAACAAACTGTCACATCAACACCAGCTGAGTTAAACTAAACGTACTTTCTACAAGCTTCCCAAAAGAGGTTTTTGAATTTGGGGAAAACAAATAAACAAGAAAATAACTCAGTGAAAGAGCCCTCAAAGCTACCTCCCCCTTCAGCTCACACAAACCTAAAGGGCTCAGAAACCTGTAATGGGCTGTAAGCAGAACACCAACCCCTTCCTGGCCAGCTCTGAATGCCTCATTGCTGGAGGTGGTGGTTGGTGATGGTACTTTACGACTTTCTTGTGAGGGCTTCTGGTCTATAGAAATCATTCCTATGGTAGAAAAAAGCTCTTCTGCTGGAGTCAGGATCAAGCAGTTTTGCTCCACTGTTTACCCTAGGCTGTTTCCCCAGAACAATCCTTTTGGGCACAGCCATTTCCTTTGGGTTCCTGCTTCCTTGGCTCTGCTTGTATATAATCTGAATATCTACCTTGTTTTCCAAAGAGCATATCTCTCTCTCCAGAGGGTGAGATAACCTGCTCATTTCTTCATTTCCACTCAGTGAGCCGTTAAATCTAGGGAACAGAATCTGTGTAGTGCAAACTCACTGAAATGCTGGCTGCTAGACCCGTCTGAAGGATACCTTTTGACCCAGCCTTGCTGCTTGGTCCACTTTATTCTTTGGATGCAATGTACAACGTGCAAGTGCTGTTGGCTTGTTATTCCTGGGACAGAAAATAATCAGCCTAACCACAGAGAAATGACACATATTGTCTTGTCAGGCACTTCTCCTCCACAACTCCTTTTGTTTCAAAAGAGTGCCAAAATGGGAAAGAAAGCCCTTATTTATCTTTCACACACGGTGAAAATGAGCCAAACCGGCAAGGATACCTGTGTTTTGTTCCCTCCTCCAATGCAAAGCCGCTAGCTTTGCTTGGTCTCTGCCTGACAGCCACCCAGAAGGATCCAAAGCAAGTGTTGGAGGCTCAATAAAATAGATGTTGTGCCTCACTGTGAAATAGACATGGCAAGATGAGCCAGCAAGGAAGAAAGAGTCAATTTGTCTCCAGCCCCTGTAAAATCCCAGACTGTGTTCTCAGTAATATGATCAGATCTGGGGCTAGATGATCAGTTTTGGCAGCTCTAACAGAGTCTGTCTGCCAGTACTGTAATTGTAAACACAACCGACATCTGAATACAATAATAATAATAATGATAAAAAGTAATGTTACCATGGCCCACACCCACTGGGACATCTCATTTTTGCTTTGGCTTTAGGATAAAGGACAATGAGGATGTTTGGATCAACAGCTTCATTTCAGCCAGTGTTTCTGATAAGTCTGTCACCACATTTGTCTCTGGAAAATATTAAGCACAACATAGAGCTCGTTCCTAGATGATCTACAAGAGGCTTGTTTCTCTCATTTCACCACAGATCTTATTTATATATACACTGCAAATAGATTGATACCACACACAGAGCACATCTACAGGGCCTGATTTTTCCAGTGTGATATTGGATTTATGATCTTGTAATTCCACAGACTTTAACGAGTTTTACCAGAATAAAGCTGGTTCCTAAAGAGAAAGGATGTATTATGAACTTGTACATATTACTCATGTATCCACCCAGAAACGTTAGTATAGGCAGACACCAGGCACAGATGACAGCAGTTAAATTTGCCTCGTACTCCCTTTTATAAGACCCTGATTTCAGTTGCTTGCAACTGCCAAATATTCAGTGCTCAGGCAGAAAATTTCCCTCTAACGTTCTTGTCTCAGGTTCAATATTTTCAGACAGCTCCAGCAAAAATAGCCCAGCCGTTCTGAGGATGAAGTTAGGGAAAACCACAGTGTTTCACCAGTATTAAGAAAGACTCCAACTGCCTTATTTAGAAGCTCTTGAAGCTTTGAAGCAAGACTTCAAAACACTGAAAGGAAGCAGTATGCTGTATCCCAGAAGTGCATGTGCTGCTGCCTTGGAAATCTGTCCAGGATCCAAGAGAGACGTGCCCAAAACCAGCAGTTCACACTCAGCTGTTGACTGTGCACCAGGCCCCGAGTCACCCACGTGTGCTTGCAGTGGCATGCTCTGTCACAACGGGAGATCTCTGCACTCACACAAGGCATGCAGCAAACCCACAGTGGATGTTTATGAAATCATTTACAAGGAGACAATCAATGCTGCAAGTGTTCTGCTACACCACCACATTGTGTTTGCTCTGCAGGCTTCAGTGAACAGGAGCTGCCTGAGTTCAGAGGGACACAGAGATAGTGCCTGGGCAATATGGGCAAGCAGCAAACTTTAAAGAAGGCCATAAAGGAAGAATGTGAAAACCGCCCTAAGTTAGGGTTGGCTTGTTTGGAGGTTTCTTGTTTTGTTTTTTATAAACAGCAGTGTCCTAGTTAGCACTGCCGAAAAATACCTACTATTGTCTTTGCTTGGGCAGGGCTACATCCATTTTGGCTGCTTACCCCTAAAGAAATACATAGAATACTGAAGAGAGACGTGCTTTTCTTGGTGCACGTGCAATCTTTAGACAACACAGAAACAGAAATATTTAGGGTGGATGGGGCCTCTGGAGTTAAAATGTCCAGCAGCCCACCACTGATTTAAAGCAGGGCCAAAGACCAATCTCTTCTCAGGCACCTCGCTCTGGGTGGCAACACCCAGATTGTGAAGGTGGAAGGAAGTGACCCCCTTCACAAGCACAGGGTGAGAGACAGGAGCTGAGACAGGAGTGATGCCTATGGATGCACTCTTCCGCAGCAACTCAAATCAAAGCCCAAGTTCTTCCACAATGTGAAGAACTCCCAAGCAAAGAAGGTGGCTCACAGACCAATCCCTGCAGCCCAGTGGTTCACAGTAAACCCACAGCTCACCCACTGGCATTCAAATAGAGCATTCCACCTTTAATGTACATTCATTTTGATGTCTAACACAACTCTTACAGACTAGATGCTGGGTACTGGCTGCAGCCACTGACAGCCATGGACTGCAGACCACCCTGACAGAGCAAATAGCTCTTCAGTGCTCTCACTGCACACTCTTAACTCAAGCAGGTTTCTGCTAAATCTCAGTATAAACAGCTCAGCCATCTTGGTGACCCCTGTGCGGGTACATATGGTTCCATATGGTGAGAAAGCTGGTTTTTTTCCATTTGCTCCCTAAGACCAAATACAGGAAATTATATACAAACCAATGTTAAGAGAATATTAAGGTTGCAGAATCAAGCAGTTACAAGCCAGGAACTGACTGACAAGGTCTTAGTCACATAAAAGAAACATCTAAATGAATGTGTTTTGATAGCCAAAAATGCTCTCTGAAAGACAGGCTACATAAATAGAAATAAATGAATGAGGCTGCTTTGTTTGAGCACAGCTTCTTAAATCATGATCATCTTTCCAGACCATTTCCTTCTCTCCTCCCTATATTTCTGCCAAATTGCAGCTGTTTAATATGAAGATTTCACAAAAGGTTGGTCTTTGCACTTGAAAAGTAAGCAAAGTTTGGGCTTCAGAGGTGATTTTAGATCATTTTGAAGACTTGCAATGGTGTACATCGGGTACCTTAAATTTACTACCCTGAAAAGCTGCAGCACTACATAATTCTTCCTGTAATCTTCCTTCCCCTATAAAGGTGACATTCATCCCTGTGGTGGGTCTGCTATAGTTAAAGGTTAGACTTATCAAAGTGAAATCTGCTTTCAGCAAAAGGAGGAAAAAAAGATTTCAGGAGTCTGCTTAGGGTTGTGCAAACAACCCCAAATTTCCCCCCACTTTTCAGTCATCAGAGACATCACAAATAAGTGCCACATTTGTTAAGTTTCAGTAAGGGAAGGCCAAAGAAGCAAACAGAAGCCTCCCCAGTCCAAGCTGCATTTGGCTAGGAGGAGAGTAACCAGCTGTCGGTGAGCCCTGCAGGATGCAGTGGCTGAGGAAGATGGACCGGTCACACCATCCCCATCACGTGTTGCCTAAGCATCAACAGAGTCCACACGGGCAGCAGATGTTCACAGGCTGGCACTCACATCCCAATCTGAAGCACTAAATCAGCTCATGTTGGCAGATACGTGGGATCTTGCCATTCCAGCTCCTCACATGACTTCTGAGAATCACAGTGCTTGTGGATCCTGTTGTGAGAATAGTGACAAGGGCCTGAACAGAAGAAAGCAGAAGTCGCACTGTAGGAGATATCTTTGGAGCCATCACGGAGGACCTACAGAAAACACTAATCAAAAGGCTTTGACTCATGGGCAATGCCAGGGAGGCTAAAAACACCCAACCAACCAACAAAACAACAAAGGTAGGAATGTGGCAAACCAAGAAAGTCACATGAAATCAAAGTGAATTCAAACCCATTTCCCTGAGAACTCCCACACATGCAAGCCCTGCAGCAGCCTGTCTCCAGCAGCTCCAGTCCCAGGCTTTGCCGAGCCTCATCCACAGGTCAGAACGGGCACAGCAGAAGTGAACAGCCCCAGGATCTGGTGGTGCTGTTCACACAGATCCTGCTGAGGAGGTGAGCGGGATTTTCAGTGCCAGGTGGGAAACTTGTAGAGGAAATGAGTACGAGACAAGCAGAGATTGCAAAAGGCTAAACCTAAAAGGACCAAGCTGTAGGATAGCCAGAGCTTGAGGTGTGAATGGGAGTACAAAGGAGCAGGTGGTTAGTAAAGGAAGGCCCATTTAAAATGGGAACAAGTCTTAGCCTTACCTGTGAAGTTCTCTTTCACCGATAGAAGCTGTGCTTTTTTTCTCAGGAGCATTTTTACTAGTCCCCCAGAGCTGATCATAAAACAAGATCATAGCTCTGGAGAAGGGCCAGCAGAGTTCAAAGCCCCTGGGTGGAAACTAAAGCAATGCTGACAAGCATTGAGGGAAAATTTGTGAGGTCCTGATCGCTAAAAGCGTATGTTTGGGATGTAAAAAAGTAATGGTTATGCCACCCACACTGTTTATTCTTATGTGTGGAGTTTGGGGCCAGTGTATTGAAACATAAAACAATCTGAACGCTTTTTAGATACGATTTACAGCATTCCTGGACTGACATTTAGCATCATGGCTTGCAGTTGAGCATACTATTCAACAAGCCACCTGCCTCTATAAATGTCACTACTTGGGCTCAAACTTGGTTTATGTCTAACTCAGAGGAGCTCCAGTTCTTTCAGTTCCCACCTGTTTATGGGGAGGTTTCATGGCATAGCACTGAAAAAGACAATTTGTAGAAGATAAAGGTTAAAGTCTTGTGTGATTTATCATGTTTGGGAGCAGTGGAAAGGGGCATGCATTCCAGTAGAGATGCAGGACTGCCCATAGAATAAATTGGTGCTGGCTTGTGCAATCAGCAACCCTGTGAGGAACAGAGAGAATGACCCACTCACCATGAAAAGCAATGGATCACCAGGTGGGATGGCAGGCGGCCTTATGCTGTGAATGCTCCATCCCTGGTGGCGTTCAACACCAGGTTGGACAAAGCCTTGGGAGGCATGGTTTAGTGTGAAGTGTCCCTGCCCATGGCAGGGGGGTTGGAACTTGATGATCTTAAGGTCCTTTCCAACCCTAACTGTTCTACGATTCAGTGATTCTATGTTTTCACATCTGGAGAACTTTGAGCCTTTCACAAAGCACCAGACCTACCCAAAGGGGCTCTCTCTGGATGCAGGGATTTTTCTTTGGTACAGGTACTACAGACAGGTATTAATATGACCACCTCTATGGTGGAAGGGAGAGAACTGAGGGAGGCAGAGGCAAGGTCCTTTCCAACCCTAAACATTCTATGATTCTATGTTCAAATTACCATGTGCTGGAGTGTTCAAACTGCACAATTGCCCACACCACAGTCCCAGAAACTGTACCTATTGAGTGCCTCCACACTCATTACAAGAAATGAAGACAGCACTTGGAGACAAATGTCTGTCCAAGAGCAGCTGCAGCAGCAATGGATCCAGCACCAGTTGTATAAAGAGCCCTTGACCCTGCCTATGTGCTCAGGCAGCTGTATTAGAATCATAGAATAATTTAGACCAAAAGGGACCTCTGCAGGTCATCTAGTCCAGTGTTCTGCTCAAAGCAAGGCCAACTAGGTCAGGTAGGTCAGGCCTTGCTCTTGTTCATTAGGATGAAATGCTGTGCTGGTTTTGGCTGGGGTAGAATTACTTTTCTTCACAGTAGCTCACATGGGGTTATGTTTTGGATTTATGCTGAAAAGAGGGTTGATAATCCAGGGATGCTTTAGTTACTGCTGAGCAGTGCTTACAGACTCAAGGCCTTTTCTGCCTCTCACCCCACCCTACCAGCAAGCAGACGGGGGGTGCACAAGGGGTTGGGAAGGGACACAGCCAGGACAGGCTATCCCCAGCTAACCACAGGGATACACCAGACCATATGGCATCATGCTCAGCACGTAAAGCTGGGGGAAGAAGGGGGGGGGGGACACATTTGGCATAATGGTGTTTGTCTTCCGTTACATGTCATGTAAAGCTTCGAGGAAAGCATGATGGCATGCTTTCCCCAAAGATGGCTGAACACCTGCCTGCCAATGCGAAGTGGTGAATGAATTTTGCTTTGCTTGCACATGTGGCTTTTACTTTACTTATTAAACTCGCTTTATCTCAAGCCATGAATCTTCTCACTTTTATTCTTCTGATTCTCTCCCCCATCACTGAGTGTGAAAGAGCATCTCTGCGGGGCTTAGCTGTCAGCTGGGGTTAAACCATTACAAACACACTGCCATAGCTAATCTGTTGCCTCTTTAAATCACAGACACATATTACCTAGACTTGTGCTCCCAAACCATAATATTTGCCACACAGTCATATGGTGGGTAACAGAAGCCATTAGTAAATTTACTGCCTAACATATCACAGTGGAGCAGACAGAGGGCTCTATCAAACTCTCATTCCTTTGCTAATGTAAAACTGGCATTTTCCTGCTTTGCAGAGAATAAAAAGTGCATACAATATTTTCCCTGGGATGGATCTAGTCACAACAGAGACCAGGGAAACTAGGAGATGTGTATCTCTGGAAAAGGAGTGGTATGCTGAGATAGTTCACAGAGCAATTGGGGGTGCTTCATGTCTCCCTCTAAAATCCCCATATAACTAATCAGGTCAGAAAACTAGTATTTCAGAACAGGGACTTAACAGACATGGCTCTGCTTTAATGAAGCTCTCTTCTACTTGGCACAATATGTTGGTCTGATAGAAGTATTTCTCACCTGGATTTAAACGTTTTGGTCTCTGAAGATATCTGGACTCTTTCTGCAACCACCAATTAAGCTTCAAATACTGCAAAGAAGAGGGAAGCTAAGCCTGTGCCTGTCACCTTGTGCAATCAAACCTAACCACAAATTTAGCTTTCTGGGCTAAATAACAAATAGTTGGTGACAAAGCATGAAAATCGTCTTGATGGCTAGCTGAGCTCTGCCTGACCTAATCTTCCTAACATTCACAGTATTAGAAGATTTAAAAGTTACATGTACGTCATTCTTGAAGATCATGGGATGAAAAATCACACATGATGGAAGTCCCCAGGCATGACTTGTAATGGCAAACACTTGATTTTTGTTGCAAGAGGTTTATAAATGGTTGTACTCCGCTTCTGGAGATTTCCCTCTACAGTTGACTCTTCCTGTGCAGAACATAGTCCTGCAGGCAAAGACTGGGTGATGGCACATCAATTGCAGAAATGAGTTCTTGCTTGGCACAGGCTAGATGAGTGTTCTCCTTTGTACAGCCATTATTTGAACATGTGGGAGAAATGAAGCAGAGACTTCTAGAATCATATGAATTCTAATATATAATGTTAAAATGTCCCATGCTAACAATAATCCTGAGAACAAGCCCTTGTGCTAAAAGTAAGATTGTTGTAGATGAAACTTCACATCCTTCCTGCAAGTGAAGGGAACAACAGGCACAGAAGTAAAGCTCTTGTGCATCAGCTTTGTGACTCTTATAACCAAGGATTGTCACACTGAACAAAGGCATTCTGCCATTCCCTGAATTAAACAGAAACGGAGCCAAATGCAAGACAAAGGTAGAAAGAAGAAGAAAAGGTATCCTGCTAACAAGGGCTTTTCAGAAAACTGCCAAAAGGGGTGCTTGGTAGAGGTTACAGCATCAGAAAATGTATATAGAGATACAGGATCTTCTCTCAAACACTCCTTCCTTGGATCCTCAGCTGGCCTAGGGAATCAAGGTGATGGTGGGTGTTGAGGTCTCTTCTTCCTTGAGTCTGACTGGCATGCATACTCTGTCAGAAGGAACCCACGAACATGTCAAAGTGAAAAACAGATCTATCTTTATTCTCAAAATGTTAGATTTTTAAGCGTTAGTCACCCATAGGATGGTACAGCTGAGGCCAACATGATCTTCTCATGGACCCAAAGGTTGCAGTAGACCGAACCACAGTGTCAGAAGTATGTAAAACCTATAGGAATGGGTTTTGCTATCAGCTTTCCTGAGAAATGCTGGACTAGAAGCAGCTCTCCAACATCATCAGAGAGACTGCACCAATTTAAATAATCACACTTTGCAAAGAGCTTTTAGTACTACAAAACTCTGAACCACAAACTGATCCAAGTTAGGTAAGTAATAAGGGAGCCTCTTTCAATGTCACCCCAACTGTCTCTCTTCCTGCCTTCTGGCTCCTGCAGCAAGTCAGGCACATGGTGAAAAAACATTTCAAGCCAGTGGGTGGCATCCAGTATTATGTGCTGCATGTGTCACTGATAGTTGGAATATATCAGATATTTTTAGCTACTGTAAGCAGTTTAGGCAATCAAGTATTGTAATCAACAGCGTACAGAAGTTCAGCTGTACCAGTTCAGTCAGGGTTTTAAGGACTCAGGTTTTGCAACTCTCAACTAATGAGCTGAGGTGCTCCTTGGTTTGGTGTAGCACAGCCATTTTCAGAAGTATGATCTTCCTGAGAACTCCCCGCTGTGTTCAGATTAGGAGGCAGTTATTTCAGCAATAGCAGCTCTCTGCAAGGAAATAGGAAAGGTAGCCCTTATTGAAGATATTCAGATATCTGCAAGGGTGAAAATCTCTGGGTTCCAGTGGGCCGCAAAGAAACAGTATGTGAGAAATGACAGAGAGAGATTACAGACAGAAAGATTATAGAGCAGCCCAAGCAGGAAGCCAAGAACAAACCTGTGACTGTTGCTCAGCTGAAGGAGCCTGCCCAAGCAGAGGCAGGAGGAGAAGCCAGAGGCGCCTTTCACAATGTCCCCCCGATTTGCTGGGCCATCCTCCCTCCCTGCCACATAGCTGACAGGATGAACTGAACACTGGCACAGCAGTGTCCTCTGGAGAAGAAGCTGCAGATGAAACTGGATGAAGGGGGCTCTGAAGGAACTGCTAAGCCTGGGTGTTTCATGGCAGAGCTCTACCTGAACATGGCAGGCTTTGGCTCTGTGGCAGTGACCTGGGCTTGGTACCAGAGGAAAAACATTTCCCCTGCAAATGAGAGTAGAAATACAGGAAAGAGTTACAAACATGTTCTAAATTGCTATGAAGGAGAAAGCATGAGCTTCGTAACTGTATTAATAACTGTCTTCTCTCTAAGCTTGTGTATATCTGCATGGCCCCTCTTCTTCACTGCCACATTTTTATCTAGACCTTCATACAGGCTGGTCTCCCCATATGGCTTTCCAAGGCACCCATGAAGAGGCAACACATCTGCACCTCCAATCAGTGAATCATTGCAAAGAAGCTGAAATTTGGCAGCAAAGCTTGAGACTGGATGGCACAGGTGCGCTGGATGTGCATCTCTGTACTAGGGCTGAGCAAATAGTTGCAGGGTAGGGATGTGCCTCTACTTTCCCCTGCAGTAACACAAAGTAAATGACTGCAGGTGCCTTTCTCAACCTTTAAAAGACAGTATTTCCCTGTTCAGCCTTTCCTCCTTCAGCAATATGCTTTGTCATCTTGGAAAAGGTTAAGAACATGGGGGTCACAACCCATCTCCTTGAAACCTCCATAGATCCCTCCATTCATCTGGCTCTCCCATTCTTAGATCCTTTGTCAGATGCTCCTTCTTCTCTTATGAATAATAAGCCACCTGCTTCCTTCAGCAAGCAGAACCTACCAGACACCTGCTGACACTGCAATCCAAGCAGACATTGATTTCTCATGTAGGTTCTCCCTTTATATCTCCCTCTCCTACACATCTATAGTTCATGCAATAGAATTTATACCTTTCATACCTTCCCCTCCCACACAACTTTATAGTTCATGTTTCAACTTCTGAACTGCTCTGAGGAAGTGACATACCCTAGCAATTGAAGCTAATGCTACTTCAAGCCGTAGTTTCCAGAGCTAGAAATTGCATTTGGTGAGACTCATGCCTAATGCTTATTGCATTTTCTGATCATGTCCTTTCAAATGCAAAGTCTAATTACCTCCAACTGTCTGAAGCAGAGCCACTTCATTCAAGATTATTGCAATTATCACATTTTGAACAAGTCAAACACCTGCCCTGCTAATCATCTCTGCTCACACAGCCCAGCCAAGCCATTTCACCACTGCCAATCCTCAATTCCCCCTGCCCATCCTACAGGAAGAACAGCAAGACTGACTCAATAAAATCCCAAGCAATATTCTCTATCTCCAAGCTGACCCTGCTTTGGGCAGCAGGTTGACTAGAAACCTCTTAAGCTCCTTTCTAACTTGAGCTATTTAGTGATTCTAAGTTCTCAAACAGGGATAATAACAGAAATTGATAGGAAATCTAGCTCTGTAACATACTCCCAACCACAGGTTGTATGTTTCCCTTCTTTAGGGTTTCCCCCTAATCCTAAAGGGTACGCTAATGGTCACCACAAAGCCCAGAATCTGGACACACAGCCAGGGGCTTGGCACATTCAATCATTCATAATCACTACCTTACCTACCTTTAGGTGTTTCTGTTCAGCAGATTTTCAAGCTGCTCCTGCTGACTGCCTTTTTTCAAGGTCCTGCAACTTTGACATTCATAGATTATCTTTCATAGCACTCACTGATGAACTGCTGACCTGAATGCAGCCTGACAAGTTTCCTGAATGCTGTAGCACCATTTACCTGTGTTAGAGCATCTACAGGAAAAGACAAAAATAAAAAGCGCCAAAATTTTCACAATACATGGTGCAATCAAGGCAACATAACACTCTAAAACAGGAAGAGAGATAACTCATCTCCTGGGCAAGAAAAGGCTGTAATTTACTGTAACAAGACAAAGCCTATACATCAAATTACTCACATTTCAGAATCTCTCTCTTGCACAAGCATCAGCAAAACTGACTATACACTTGCACACAATCAGCAAACAAGAAACAGAGACTTTTATTCTCTGATTACTGAGTGTTATAATCTTCCTGAGTGCTTCTCCTTCCCCTCCAAACAAATCCACCAGGTGGGTGTACTCACATTAGTTGAATTACCCACCCAACCTGGATGGTTCATCTCCCTGAGCCAGCTCTGCAAGAAAAGAAGGAAGCAGGCTTGCCAGGGGGTGATTTAGAGCATCTGATGGCTTAGGAGCACAACTCTGCCTATCCCACACTCTCCTACAAAAGCCTAACAAGATAAGCCTCCTAACTTAAATTAGGTACCTAAAACCAGATGGTGTGCTTATTTTTTCCCTTATGTCCTCATTAGTAATACACATAACAGTGCTCACCTGTGTGTCTTTAATCATACCCACAGTTGGTCATCTTTTCCCCCCTATTTTTCTTCAACCAAAGTGGGGATATTATGAAAAACAGTAAAAAAAAATACTATTGTATAAAACTATATGGTGAAGCAGAAAGCATTCAGGAAAGGAAGCAATGCTTCCCACTGCTTTAATACTGCTTTGGAAATTCATTACATTATGAACTGTTAGTGTCCTGTTAGGCAATCTCCTGCAGCAAAATGAGTCTTGGACTCAGGTGCTCTGTAGCAGAAGTGACCTTGGATGGAAGCCACAAAGACGGCAACAAAACAAACTGGTATATGTTCTTTGGCATTAAGTAGCCAGTGCTTTTTTTCCTGCAGCAGTACTGTCACAAAGTAAAATCTGGAGTTAACAGTCAAGTACAACTTCGTACCCAAATGAAAAGACAAATCTTCCCCCCAGCCTAAAATCAGGAACAAAGCAAGAACATGAAGCTATAAAACTGAGTATTTACAGTTTATAAACAAAGCAATGATATCTTTTTCTTCTTATAGTTAACCTTTGATTTGTTTGCCACATTTCCTGCATCTTCCCCAACCTCTATAGTGACAGAATTACATTCAATCAGAATTTGGGCCCTGAAATACTGAAAAACTTGCTCAAAATCTATTTGAAAACATTTTACACAGTAGTGTATCTAAAGAAAGAAACAGTAGTAAGAAAATTTCATGATTAATAATCCGTGCTTTGTAGTAATACGTATTGACAGAAAAAATTGGATTACTCCATAGTTGTTCTTAATTCAGCAGATCACAGCCCTGAAGATGTGAGTGGAAGACACAGAAATCCAGAATCATGATTAAGTGAGAATCCTTTTTCACAAAACGCAGAAGCTGAAGATCTAAGGTAATATCCTGATGCCTTGGAAGACCACTGCTTCCTAAAGCAGACAGCAAAGAGGAGGCTAACAAAGCCTGATCATAACAGACAAAGATGAACATAAGCACTCTCCCCCATCCTTCCTTGTGTCACAGGCAGCCTGGAATGATTTGCAACCACAAACAGCCGCTACTTCAGCCACACAGTGGCAGCGGTTTTTCAGTATGTGTGTTTTATTAGAAGAATATCAATCACTAAGTCATAGCAAATCCCATTAAACAATCAAGTATGCCTTTGCAGCAGCTAGGAAGAATCAACAGAAAGAACTGAGGCAATCTGAGACTGTAGAATTCTCCCTTCTTCACAGAAGAACCTTTGGCAGTCAGGAAAAGCCCTTCAGACCCTCCAACCTAGTGACTCAGACGGCCCTGGGTTCTGAAATCAGCCATGCTTACCAGAGGAGCACGGTGGGAAAGTATTAGCAACCTACTTACCTTATCTTCATGAGATCAGTGAACCTTTCGATTAACAGTACAAAAAGGATAAATATTGTGTAACTGAGCACCAGGAGTACTAACTCTGCCTTTGAGAATTTCCATGCTTGCTCTTCCAGTGAAAACAATGCTTGGGAGACTCGGCCATGTTGCTGGTGCTGGTGTGTTTTATCTCTACAATGATGCAGACAGATCCTGTCAGTCTTTCTTCAGAACAATAATACAAATGGAGCTAATCATGCTGTTTACCCTGAGTTGATTCTTGTTCGGCAGAATTCAACAACTATGAACCTTGTTGTACCAAGGAAAACTAGACTCCTTGCATCTGTTTAATCTCACTTGATGTCAACACATTTCTGAGTGGTCTATACATAGAAATGGATGGTGATAGCTAGTTCTGTTCAGTGCATGTTCAGATGCTTTTGGTGCTCTCCTATTTCTCTTGTTGCAGTTTCGTTTAACCCCCTGCATCCTCCAGAAAGATACTCATTGCAGGAGGAAAAGGAGACACAGGTTATGCTTTCTCCATACAGACACTGCATGATCTGCTCTACAAGGTGCTGAGAGACAGAAGGCCAATATCTTTAATAAAAAAGGAAAACATCCATTATTTATATGCTGATATGACCTTTACAGACTCTTTCTCTCTTTCTCTTTTACTCTGAATCTCATTAAGATGACTATGGAGAGTATTCCTGATGTGCACACAAATCCATGTAGCTTGAGTTTGCCAGAAAACCCATAAATTCAGTAGGATACTGCATGAGATTGGTGAAGTCCCAGTAACTTAATCAAACAGGCAAATACAGTATTTAAATTATTCATTTAACATCTCTGATAATAAGAGGAAGCAAACACTGATTACCTTTCACCTTTGCTGGGGACCAACCAAGAGAAATGACCATTTTAAGAGATCTGGAGATAGAATTCAGCTTAAGAATGTGATTCTAGGTAAAAGATCAATGTTCTGTCAGAGGGCAGGAGGTGGCAAAGGAGCCATATATTTACTTTGGTAAAAAATACTCTTATAGAACCCATTAAAAGTGGCAATCACAGAATCACATAATGGTTTTGTTTGGAAGGAACCTTAAAGCTCATCCAGTTCCAACCCCTGCCACAGGCAAGGACACCTTCCACTAGACCAGGTTGCTCAAAGCCTCATCCAACCTGGCCTTGAACACTTACAATCACAACATACAGTTTCACAACCAAACCAGCATGTTTGTTAATACCTGCAGACAGGCTACAAGCTTCACAACACTCGTGATACATGGTGCAGATGATACCACAGGTCACCTAGAGTTCTGCTCCCACGTCAACGGGTTCACTTCAAAGACTCAAGAGAAATTAACAGTCAGGATGTCATTCATCAGCTAGGCGAGAACCATTTTTCTACGTGACAGCTCATCATACCAAGCAACCCACAAAAGATACAACTAAAGAATGTCACATCTAGACAGATGAGAATTGCAGCTCAATAGGGGAACTCACTGTTACTAAGCATTTTCATAAATTACATTCTGACAGAGCTTTTCGGAAAAGTATTAGCAGTGATCCAAACATTAGGACCTAGCAAATTTCTTGGGCAAAATCCTGGCTCCGTTAAAACAAATGGCAAAACTCCCAGACACTTCTACAGAGACAGGATTTTAATTTCTCATGCCAGCTGCAACACACTGCTACAGCTTTGGGCAAACTATACTAACTCAACCTCCCCAGTTATAATAGGCCACTAACCACTGCTCTTGGAGACACTGTGGCACAGAAGTGCCCCACACAGAAAAGGGTAAGCATTATCAATCAGTACAATTAAGAATCATAAAATGGTTTGGGTGGAAGGGACCTTAAGATCATCCAGTTCCAGTGCCCTGCTATAGGCAGGGACACCTTCCATTAGACCAGGCTGCTCAAGGCCCCATCCAGCCTGGCTTTGAACCCTTCCAGGAAGGGAGCATTCACAGCTTCCTCGGGCAACCTGTTCCAGTGCCTCACCCAAGGAAGTTGTGCCTGTTAGCAAACAGGCTACTTCAGCAACTCACTGTCAGGAAAATACTCCACTGATACAAATACTGGGCTTGCACTTTCAGCAGGATTCCCACGCACGGAAGACTGGCCTAAGCTCTGGTGCAGAAGCGCTGTCTTCACTAGTTTGATAACTTAAGAATTGTATTTGGCCGATCTGTAATGATATCATCTCCATTAAACAACAGTTGTGTTCTATTGCAGGCAAAGTGTGCATGTGAACAGTTACCTTCACAAATCTGAGATTAACAAACAGACACTGCTACATAAATGCACATATTAACTCTGGATTGTTAACACACACATTTGTTTAAAATGAATTCTGCGGTGTTCTTGCAAGTCAGTTTTATGGCTGCATGAAGAGAGGCTGTAAAATGAGATCAGGATCCTTGGTAGGTGGCATGTTACATTTTTTTTAAGAAATATTATTCCTCCCATAGAAATGCACAACAGATGTAACATTCGACCTAAGCAGTAAGATTTATTACTATTTTTAAAGCAAATTCAGCACAGCTTCAGAGAACACTGTCCAAAATTCTTTGAGCTAGGAAGAGGTTCTTCTTGTCATCGATGCACACTTTGCATTTGTCAATTCTTACCCTCAAAGCCAACCCATAGTTTAGTATTTCAGGCTTCTTACAAAGGTGATGAACCTGTAATTCAATCTGCTAACGTAGCACAGAGTGGTCTACCTCACTGCAGGCATGGGCTCCTATTTTTGCTTTTAATATCAAAAGAAATCTGCATGGCCTCTTTGGTGTCTTTCTGAGCCCAAAAACATTGCAGGTGATGTCAAGCATACTACCAACAGCACATGCAATCAAAAGCAATTTTCACACACTGTTTATCAATGATAAAAAACAACCATTACGGCTGTGATCAAAGAATGGAGTCCTGCTTATATTGTCTTAAATTCTTTCTTTACCTCATGCACTTTTGTATAAATATTTGTTTTCTATTTCCTTCAGAGGCCATAGTTGTTCTGTTTTCTAAAAATAACCACCTTATGCACAGTCTCCTCTTTCAAAGCGCTGCTCTTTTTCCTTTTGTTAAGCTCATTTCCAAGTCCTCTCTGCATGGAGAGTAGTGAAAAAGGGGTATGTGAAACTTCACTAACAAACATGTTAAAAATGCCTAAAAATGAGGAACAATTCTTGGATTAACCCCTCCAACAGTAAGCGGTTCTGTGAAAAGTCAACAGGCCTCCATGTTATGTAGTGATTTTATATTCTGAGTGAGGGCAAGAAATCCAAAAATTAAAACATACCTGAACATAACATTAAAATCTCATTTCAAGAAAACACTCATTTTTGCTGCTCAACAGTTTCAAACTACCCTTTCACTTCACCTAACATAATCCCAGATGGTCCAGCAAGCAGCCCCTGACCAACACTTTCCATTCACCTCAGGTGAATCCTGGAACTGATGCTGTTGTTTAAATGTTGGAGAAATTGATGCCTCTGAAAGTTCAACTCTTACCGCACCATGTGCATAGCCAAGCACTTAAAACTGTGAACCTCTATACAGGCTATAAAGACAATCCTTGCATTAATATACCATTTTCACCTCATTTCTCTGATACGGAAAACTACCCGCTTGTAATAAGAATTGCTTTCTGACCCCAAGTTCGAAGCATCCCACCAAATCTGGGGCTGCCCAGTTACATTCTTTTCCTGGAGAAAGGCATGGGACAAAGTTCTTGGATGCTCCTGCAGAAGATCCAAGCAACATCGGGAACACTGCAAATCTGAGATCATATCAAATACATCACACCTCAATGAAACTGGATGCTTTCCCTATTCATTACAATTACATATGCCTGCAGATTTTCTCTGAACTGCTGTTCCACAAAACTCTAGTCAGGAAGCAGTTCATCAGTTAGCTCCCTAGACATAGAGTGTTTTAGGTAGCCCTTTAGTACAGAATCATAGAATGGTTTGGTTTGGAAGGCACCTTAAAGCTCATCTAGTTCCAACCCTGCCCCTGTCATGGGCAGGCGCACCTTCCGCTATACCAGGTTGCTCAAAGTCCCCTGCAACCTGGCCTTGA